CAGAAGTTCTCCATTGTTGAGTATCTTAGCTCTTCCATCTCCCCATGTGATATCAAAATCTTGATGGAAATTACCTCCAAGTGCTATTACAAAACAGCTACTTATAACTAAAACTAAAGAAACTGAATTCAAAGAAGCCATTATTGAAGAGTTGAATTGCGTTGGCAAAGTATAATGAATAAATCTAAGAAGATTTGGTGTTTAAGATTGTTGTTTGATGTTGGAATAGGATCCATTCAAGGGTATTTATAGGGAGTTTGTGGGGTCTGTAGAAATTGCAGGGAGGGTTCCATAAATTCAAGTTGTGTGGTGAAAAGTGTTTGAGCTGGATACAGATATTGGCCAAAACGAGTTGCTGTCAACAGTTTTTTGTATATCCAGTGACAACCCATTTCGCCTTTTAATATTTATTATTAATACCACAGTCTACACTGTTCTGATAATATTGTCCTAAGTGTAAGCTTTTGACTAGAGTACAACTGATTTACCTTTCAAATAGTAATACCTCTACAATTTAAAATAGATATCGATTCATTTACATACTGATACATCTATAATTCAAAGGAATCAAACCGGACAAGATCCAAAATCGCTCGATTTGCTCCAATTAAATTTTCCATTGTCTACAGAACCTACTTGTCCATTTTGAAATTCTCAATGGGATTTGGTTCGGTTCAAGTTCTCAAGAAACTCAGGTTGAACAAGCTGGTATCCACCCCTAATATTAATTACTTTAAAGGTCCTTACCTTTATCATTTTCTTATTTACATCTTTAACTTTTTCATCACATCTTTATTTTTAACATTTCCTTAGCTAGCAAATATTATCCTTAATCGCAATTTTCTTGCACAAATGTTATTAACGTGCTCTAAAATGAGGAATAAATATATAGTTGTAATTCTATTTTTTTGGCTTATTTAAAAATACAATGGTAAATGTCTTTATTTTATTTGGACAAAAACCGCAATAAGGGACAAGTTGTGTTAATTTGAGAATAAGAATACAGTTTTAAAAAATTAAGACATAAATGTGATAATGATTAAATATTACAAACATTTTCATGCAATCAAAATGTGTTGTAATTATTAAAAAATATTTTGTGAATATATTTAGCTTTACTAAATAATCACACACTGAATAGAAGTTTTGGTTTAAGACATATTTCGTTTTCTTTAAGTTTATCGATTCAGCTCAATCAATTATCAACAACCCTCAAATTTGTTACTTAGCCCCTGTTTGAGCCACATTTTTACTTCATTAAAATGAAAAATATGACCGTTATTCATCACATCAAGCCACAATTTTTGAATTTCTATCTCTGGTGTGGGGGCCCATAACGGTTCTATTTCTCATTCTCATTCTCATTATAATGTGGCTCAAATAGGCTCTTAATAATAAATGTTTTAGCATTAAACTAATCAAATAAGCCATTAATTTTTCAATAGAGATTTTAAATTTTGAAATAGACATCATCAAATTGTATTTGGTTCTTTATTAGTGTTATAACTTTTTTATTTTTACATTCTAAAAAATATATAATAATAATCGTTATCTAGGTTTCCTCCAGATATCATTATTGGATTCGGTAAAGAGATCTGGCCACTGAATTCACCATTGTTCTTGTCCTACATTGACATTTATTTTGTGGACTTTGGCTTTACTAGTTTTATTGTTGTCTAGTTACAATCTATGCATTACGCTCTATTGGTTACTCTATTTCAAATCCATTTATAAAAATTCTTTAGTTTTTTGAGAAAAACATTAGTTCGATCTAGAAAGATTTGATTAAAGTGAAGGTGATCGACGACGATGAGTTCACTTTTGCTTTTGTTACAAGGGATTTCCGGAGAATTTGATTAAGCCCCTGTTTTCTTGAAATTAAAATAAATAAATAAATAAATAAATAAATTTTTAGTAGATTTTGATAAAAGTTGATTAAATATGTGGTTGAAAAGTTGTGAATCTAATGAAATGTATAATTAAAGAGTTTAACTCGTATTTTAATTATTTTTTAGCTGAGCCAAAAAGAGGGCTAAATTTTAGAAACTTCCCTCGTTGATATAAGAGATTTTTGGGAATTTTAGGAGTGTCTTAAGTATTAGATGTGACTCATGCCTTATAATCGTTTGGAGGCGGGTCAAGTAACTTTGGTGCAATAGGTCGAGTCTTGTGTTAACATTAACAATATTAGTGTTGATTATTAAATTGAAAATTATTTGAATGGAATAAAGCCTCGAAGGGGATTATCGATTGTACTACCAAAAGTGTGACACAATGAACTTTCGCCAATAATTATTCACAAAATATATTTCAGGTCCACTCAAGCTCTCTCAACGCGGATTGTTTATAAATGTGGCCCCCTTGGCCTTATAAAAATAAACCTCAATAGAATTGAACTTATATAAATGTACCTCATTTTATGATCATGATCAATTTGATCATATGTATAATATTAACTCTCAGAATTCTCTACATAGATATTTACATGAAAGATTTTAGAAAGTTTGTATACAATTACGAAATTAGCCACTTCAAATAGGTTCATTGCTCCAGCTCAAAATACGATTAATCCGACGTTGGCTATATAAGCTCCTAGTAGTTTACCGAATAATTAATAACTCGAGCATTCCCGGCCCACCAAGCAAAATCGGTGATTTCTTGGTCATGATCAATTACAGCTAAAGTTCCAATTTACATAATTTCCTTTTAAAAATCTTCAGTCACAATCTTTGCACAATACAATCCATTTTCACGCGTCTCTTAACCTTTTAGAATAATTATACAAAAGACTTTCACAAGTATACTTTCAAATTACCCCCAACGCATATCTATCAATGAATCCCATTAAGTAATGTTGTTGATAATCCTGCACAATAATCAACGAACAAAAAGCAGTAAATTTAAAAGTTTTTGTAAAATTGACTATTGTTTCAATTTTTTCTCAAATGTAATAACAAAAATTGATGAAATTTTGCAGGTGTCATCAATGAAATAATTTATAGCATTCTTCAACATAGATTATGTTAAATATTCTTGAAAGAATGAGAATTTCAAGATATTTTTTGTGGTTAAATCACCTCACTTTTTCAAACTTAGAAATCTCCATTATTAGCAATAGTTCCAATATCAATCATAATGAAAAAAAGATTATTATCAACAATCTATGTTAGAATTTATTGAATGAAATTAAACTCCATAAAATAAAAGAAAGAGGCACTCCATGATTGGAGGAGAAGAAACCTCCATGAAAGGAGGGATTGGAATTCCACAATACAATTATTTATTAATGAATACAATCACTCCATTTATAGAGAAAAAAGATGAGTAATTAACTGACTAATTTGCTAATTAACAGGCTAATCACTAACTAATTAACATCCTAGACATGAGCTGAAATATTCGAAATTTGCTGTAACATATTTCTAACACACCCCCTCAAGATGGACTATAGATATCAACAATAGTTCATCTTGAAGATTAAAGAGTGTACTGGAGGGAAAAACCATGATGAATAGCCTTGCAGAACAAATCTCTTGAATCCATATATATGAGCATCCATTAGATCAGCACGAAACATCACCAAACATTCCATTCCCATTCCATTTCGTGCCAGTGCACAATGCTTTCAGAGTTGAGGAGACTTGTTTTGTATGGAAAACTTGGTAAGGTTCATAATGTAGAAAGGGATGATGTTCTCAATGGAAGCAAACTGGCGGGTCATTAGATTTCACCAGATCTGATGGATAAACAAGACTTAGTGTAGGCTTTGACCATCCATAAAGATCTTTGAAAGTTTAGAGAACCAAAATCTGAAAGAGAAGAAATTTTATTGTAGAGAATCAAGGACGAATTTTGATGTTGCTGGCGCCATTTTCTGAAGACGGGAACTGAACTTTTGCTGGAATAACACTTTCCAGAATTATGCTAAAATAGAAGAAATTAGAGATCTGTTTTCATTTGTACAGAACACAGAAAGAGGGGATGAAAATCTCAAAAAAACACAGCAACAGGAAGAACTCTGCTCTGATACTATGTTAGAATTTATTGAATGAAATTAAACTCCATAAAGCAGAAGAAAGAGGCACTCCATGATTGGAGGAGACGAAACCTCCATGAAAGGAGGGATTGGAATTCCACAATCCAATTATTTATTAATGAATACAATGACTCCATTTATAGAGAAAAAATATGAGTAATTAACTGACTAATTTGCTAATTAACAGGTTAATCACTAACTAATTAACATCCTAGACATGAGCTGGAATATTCTAAATTTGCTGTAACATATTTCTAACAATCTAGGTACCAAATTTGGTGAATTTTCATACCAAATTTGTGGTTCTAGCTACTTTCAATTTTGATGGTATTTCCTATACGAATTTTCACAATTTTTCTTGCCACATTTTTTCTCTCGTCCAAGACAAGACATGAAAGTTGAGGAAGGTTGCGAGAAGTTATAAGTTTAAATTCCAAATTCAAACCACTCCAACCCGTGGAGTTTCACTTGATAGTTTTATGAAGTTTTCACTTGAACGTTGTAAACCAAAATACTATTTACAAGTGCAACATAAAATTGGACAGGGAGCATGAAAAACGAGGTGCTTGCAAGGCAATGTGAAATAAGAGAGAGTAACAGTGACTGAAAATTTTATGGTCAATTTTGTGATAGCTGATGTTCATATTGGACTTGTATGATTTATAAAATTATCATTAATTCATAATTTCCCAATCGTCTTTTGCTAATAATATATTCTAATGTATATAAACTTGTTAAGGACTTGCATGTAAATAGTTATGTAATTTTTTAACTTTCATGTCAGTTTGCCCCCATTTGGTGGCCATTATTGAAAGAAAATGATGTTTTGAATAGTGATTTTTTTTGGAAAATACGTGATTAAATTTTAGTTAAATGTCTGAAAGAAAGCAAAGGAACATGTGATAACTTTCCAATATGTTGATCTGTCGGGAAAAATTATATAGACTCTAAAATTATTTCCAACTGGGGATGCTAATAATATATTCTAATGTATATAAACTTTTATTTCTTACAGATGATTACAAGTAAAAGAACAAAAGAATTACTACTTTACTAGACTCCAAACAAATCAATAAATGTAATATTCCTGTGCCTAAATTAATCAAACTTCAGAAAATTAATTCTTTTTAAGCTGAGGTGTTAATACTACACTCTGGAGGAAATCCTTGCGAGAATCGCTTTGAATCAGAGCAATAATTATATATCATGTAATTTTTCTGCACCCATTTTAGCCTCTCTTGGCTTGTGGAATCCAATTCTTCATTCAGCCATGAATTGCTGCTACTTGAAGTAGAAGATGGAGTGCAAGAAGATGAACCCGATGAGGACGAAACACATGCATCTGCATTGAAATTTCTGTAGGATGCAGTAAACGGAGCCTGACTCCAGTCGGTTTTCACAAGCCCCCCTCTTGTTGCCCAATCGTCAGCATTCCACAAGCTAGAGTAAATTCTCATGGGTTGGTTCTTTGGGTATGCAACACCTAGAGACTCAGCATTCTTGAATTCTCTGATCGGTGTACCATCCACAGAAAAGCTGAAATGGGAGCACAAATAAGTCAGAAAAACGAGACGATATCGTCTAAATGTGAGGTGTTTGGTAACTGTGAAATTACTTACATGATGCGTTGGGGATTCCAGAGGATGGAATAGGTGTGAAAATCTGCAGTCGGGTCGAACCAGAGATAGAATTGCTGCTCCCTGTTGCCCTTTCCTTGGCCAAACACATTGGTGTGAAGAATATAAGGATCCCCACTAAGGTTTCCCAAGAACTCGAAGTCTATCTCATCATGGGTTGATCCTTGAGATGACAACTGCACAATACATACACAATATTAGTTATAACTTCCCATCTATAGTATCAAGAAAGAAAAAAAGCTAAAATATCGTCCAGCTTACATAATAGGCAGTGACGGTGCCAGCAGAATTTCCAGGTACGAGTTTGAGTTGCATATCAATCTTGCCAAATAGATACTCATTCTTGGATTGAAATCCAGAGCCAGAAATTTTATCAAGTGAGAGAGTCAGAAGTTCTCCATTGTTGAGTATCTTAGCTCTTCCATCTCCCCATGTGATATCAAAATCTTGATGGAAATTACCTCCAAGTGCTATTACAAAACAGCTACTTATAACTAAAACTAAAGAAACCGAATTCAAAGAAGTCATTACTGAAGAGTTGAATTGCGTTGGCAAAATACAATGAATAAATCTAAGAAGATTTGGTGTTTAAGATTGTTGTTTGATGTTGGAAGAGGATTCATCGATGGGTATTTATAGGTAGTTTGTGGGAAGTGGAGAAAGTGCAGGGAGGGTTCCAAGAAAGCAAGTTGTGGCGGTGAAAAAGTGTAAGAGCTGGACACAGATGACCTATAAGAGTGGTTGAGTTGAGAATAGTGCGATTCTAGCTTGTGACAGCCCATATCTCCTTTTATAACACTAGTTGACTTGCACGCGGTTTTGACCCTGCCCACAGCCCATAAGAAAACCAATTCCCATTTGACGACCATTTTATTTAAAAACTCTTCAAGTAACTCAATAAAACGAACAATTCATTTTGTAAAAAGTTTAAACGAGTAGTTAGATTCTAAATTTGGTGTTTTCAAATAAGCCAAGGGCATTTATAAAGGTAAAATTTCACATTATTTAAGTACGTAAATTAACAACTTATCAAGGGTTTGAATCAAGATCTCTTTGACAAAACTTTTGAAAATTTAAAAACATTTTTCAAACTAAGAAATTACTTTTAAATATGTTTAGATAATATTATGAAAATATTTTATCTGACCAGAAAATATTTTAGAGGAAACTGATTTAATGTAACTTTCTCATAAAATTATGCTACAGAAAGTGTAAGCAAAAATAGATATCTATCAAATTTGCCCTTAGTCTCTTGACAATGTTGACCTTTTAAACCTTTTAATTTGGAATTGCAAGACTCAATACTTTATTTTTGGTTTAAAAAATTACATTTTCGAAAGTAGACCCTATGTTGATGCCGAAATAAGTAATTTATTTTTAAGTTTTAACGACAAAATATTATTATTTTAGGAATTATTGTTTAAAAACTTGGCGAAACAGGTTCATTAATACTATGGATTTAGAGTTTTTAAAAGCGATCGTGTTCTTGTAACAAGTTTGCTCTTTTAAATAGCATTATTCTAAATTTAAATTAAGGAATTGCAGTAACACACTCAATCCATTCAGTTAGATCACCAAATTAATTTTGACCCACTTTATCAATTTCAAAATGTTTTCACATTTATTGATTGTCAATTCGTTTTCGAGAAAGTACGAGATGGTTGTTTAAGGACAACTCTTTCTCTCCATCTATTTTATGCCCTTGTTTTTTCTTTCATCGGGTCACGGGTAGGGCTGTCAATGGATTGAATTTTGATCCGAATCTGATAAGATTAACGAGAGATGGATTTAAGGTTTCAATCCGATAATCCGTTAACTAAATGGAGCAAATATGAATATATGTCGATCAGATCCGATTTATTATAATAATATTATATATTTTATATATTATATCATAATTTATTAAACATAATTTTTCCATTTTGAAACTTATATTATTCTTTACGCATAATTTTCAAATAATAAATAATATTAGATAATAGTATAATATTTTTACTTGAAATATTCAAAGAAGTTTAATTTTTTATTAATTAAAATAAGATAAAAATAACTATAGTAATTTGTTTTATAACATCAAAAACTAATAATTAATATGTTCAAAAATAATTTACTTTGTTAAAATTGATATTATTTTTTATTTTAATTTTGTTAAGGCTATGATTTTTAGTGAAATTAATAAAATAAATTAGTAAACATTTAGAATTGACAATTGAATAGTATCTCACATTGAAAGACCACTAAAACATTAGAAGAGAAGTACCCTTTAAAAATGTAGTATCCCACATAGGAAGATTATTAAAACATTCCGAGAGAAATCTTCTTTAAAAGGAACTAAAGGAGTATCACTTGGATAAAAAAATGATTTGGGCCTTCTCGTATATTAGGTGAGCCTATCAAGATAGTTAAAATATTTTTTTTTGGAAAAAATTGGTGGAAAAAAATTCGGATCGGATTATCGGATTGAATATTCGATAACATAGCAAATTGGATATGGATTTAACAATCAAATATCCGTTGGATTATCGGATCGGATTGGATAATTTTTCTTAACGGATTGGATTTGGATAGATTCGCTCCATATTCGATCCATTGACAGCTCTAGTCACGAGTTCAATTAAAGGTATAAGGGTGGCTACTCAAAACTTAGCGTAGACTCGATATGGTTCGATCAACCTATGGTCGACAAGAATGGACGTAACTAAATGACACAAAAAATATAAATAGCCAACCAAAAATAATTTCATTCATAGTTTACACCCTGAGTGGAACACATAATTTATATGATTACGCCTCGCAAGCATTTTGGGAGTCAAATAGCATCATCATTTTGGAAGCCAAAATCAATTTTAGTAACTTACAGGATAAATAATAATATTGTAAATTTAAATAACTAAATATTGATATTTTAATTCAGAGATCATTTGCGAGTATGCCGACAAGTTCAAGAACCAACCAGATTTTTAACCGAATATAAATTACATATCTCAGTTCAAGTAAGGTTACTTACAAGAATAAAGATGAATTGGATATTACCATAAAGATCGTAATATTTAAATTTTATATGGTGAAAATATCAACAAAATCTTGATTTTGTTGGAGAATTTAAAATTGACAATGAAGTGGGAAGATGATCGATATATTTCACTTATCATTTACAGAATTGAAGGGTCATTTATCTTTTAAATTGGTAGAAAACATATAAATAACGTTAGAATTGAAAATTTATGAAAGGTGTTAAAATGTGCTTAACATCTTTTTTTTCTTGGGCCCAATGATGCAGTTCAATAAATGGAAATTGAAGTATTGACTCTTGACCCAATTGATAAAATGTGACGCTGTTCGGCCCATATTTGTTTTCTATCTCGCGTTAACTAAAGACATGTTTTTAATGGAAGGTTGAGATGAAGACAAGTGTTGCTGGCTGGACCGTTGGATGCATTGATGACTTTTTATATTCTCAACTCTCTGATTTCTTCCCTGATTCGAGATTATTCTAGGGTTTTCAGTCTCTTTCGTCTTCTTCGTGATCTCTCTATGGAAATCCTTGGTTTTCATTTTGTAATCTTGAGTCTTCTGGTCTCTTGGTGACTTCCAGTCTGATTACTGTAATAATTAGTTATTTTTGTTCTGTGGTGAACTCGATTACTTGGTGTAATCCTGAAAATGAGAGAAAAGTGAGGCTGAGTCTGAGGGCTTCAAAATCTAGTGTTTCTTGGGTCGATTATCCTTGTACTTTGATATTTTTATTTGGATTCTAGTGGATTAGAGCGTTAACCACTTAGGTGGAAGCTCAACGGGTGACATAGCCATTTTAGGTGAACATCCGGGCCTTTGGACGAAAAAATACTTGTGTTCTTTTTGTTTGATTTACTCGATTCGAATTTCTGGGACATTATTGATACCAACAAAAGGTTGTTACCATCCCTGAAGGGCAGATTTATTTTTCTCATTGATGGAATAGGCAGAAGTCAGTGTTAGAATAAAAAATTTACAAAAGATTGTAACAATCTGTTAACTATCTAGTTTAATATTAATCCCACCAAGCACTGTAGCACGAAGGAGTAGGAAGGTAATATCAGATTTATTGGTGTAAAAACATGCTTTAAATCTACATACTCTATATGTTGATTTCACATATGTTTTGATGTTGTGAAGGATTTAGTTTCAACACAACATCGATATATGATTTCATCCACTCCCAAGATTTCTCCAACCTTATTGTCATTCTCTTTTATCTAGATCTTCAAAATTTATTTATTTGTTTTTATCAAAATTGTTGATTCTTGACGATAATCTTCCCTGTGTTTTTGTTTATAGTTTCCCTTACTTGAACTTAGGGTTTGTGACTTTGTGAAGATTACAAATGTTGTTGCTTTTATTTATTATGTAGGATTATATTTACTTGAGGGCACAGGGGCACCCAAATGCATTTCAAGTACTATCGAGTTGTGTGAATTCAATAATAGACGCATGTTGGCTTTACAGTCTTCCTTTTCATTTTAGGGCCTATCCAAAAGAGAATTCAACACTTTTTGATATTGAATATTTGAAATGGTTGTTCGTTGTTCAAGAATTTTTTGAATGGTTATTAAACTGAGTTGAAAAGCACACAACTTGATTTCATTCTTGCTTTTACTAAGTTTGAAGAAATTGTGGATACATAATTTCAACAAATTGGTACATTAATGCATATGAATACAACAATAAATACAAACATATTGCTACTGAGCTAACTATTCCCAACCAAGCCTATTATTGATGGATCACTCTTTTTTACAACCTCAAAGGCCAAAGCGATTTCATGGTATGTACGATGATTTATTATCTAGTAAGTTAAAAGTATTAAGTTAGAAAAAAAATTTATTTATTATTATCATTAGATACCTTTGAAAATAAGTACTGATCATTCACGTGAACTCGAGTAAAAAGGATAACAAACAACTACAATTAAACAATTACAAGTGTCATGTAAACTGAATCAAGACGGTGCTAATGGCTCAATAATTTTTTGAATTAAATGATTATTGATAGTTTTCGACATAAGTACTAATCATTCACGTGAAATACTAAAAAAAAAAATGAAGAAGAAGAAGAAGAAAGGATAACAAAATCAAGACGATGCTAATGACTTCAATGATATTTTGAATTTAGCCCATGTTTGAACCACATTTTAGAAAAAAAAATGTATTATTCATGTCAAATCAATGAGAAATGTGTGGTTAAAAAATAATGAAAAATTTTAGATTTACGTGAATATTATTTTATTGAAGAATGTGTGGTTGAAATGATGTCAAATTACTGTTGAAAAATGTATTCTTTTTTAAAATAATGTAGTTTGATTCATGATGGATCCCACGATATACGTTACGTACCGAATTGCGGAATTGAGGTGTACTAAACTAAGTTAAATTTTCCTTTGTTTGAAGCATCTAATCAGGCAAATATGTTATAGACTGCGAAAGTGAGACATTATCTTCAAAGATCTATGGGCATGACTTGCCTAAAGTGGGGTGCTGGTAGAGCATAATTACAATGAAATGACTTCACGTGCTTACAATTACAGAAAATTGCACCATTGATTTTCAACACATTCCTCGACTGATAAGATGGTTTTCAATAT